CAACAGTAGTGAGGTTGGCCCAAGATTGGGCACTGTTTCGTTCTGCTGTGTATAAGGTCGCTATAGGTTGGTACCGACTCGATGGCACCTAACAGCAACAAAGAGGTGGAGAGAGGAACAGAGATGATTTTTTATTTTTAAGTTATAGATTAAAATCTTGTTTCTGATTAAATGTCAGTAAGCTGATGATTGATTTTCCCCCCAAATAAATTAGTCCTCCTTTATCTCTTAAAATTATTATTCAAGATTGTGTTGACAAGGATTTAGGCTGTTGGAATGCTTTGTATATCAGATCTAATTATATCGAGGTCTCAGAACCTGTTCATATTTTTTCTTGAAGTTTTCTAATAATTTTGAAAGAAGTTGTTCCTACACTTTCTAATTTAGATGGTTTAGAATGTTTTGTCCTATATACTAGCATCTTCGCTATAAGATTTTGTCATATTTTTGAAAAGAAAATGAACATGGGAAAAATATATAAGGTTAAGAGATGCAGAGAGGTGGAAGAGGTATTCTTGTGGGCTTTGTACTTTTGCCTTTCCCACAAGGAAGTTAATCATCAGAAACCTTAAAATGCAAACTAACTCAAATAAAAATGCATTAACACTCCAGATAGGTAGATTGTAACAACTGCCATTTACTGAGCATTTATTATATAGTTGACAACGACAGATACTTATTTACAAAGAAGCCACTTCATCTTCAGGAGCTATGAGCAGTATCAGGATCCCTATTTGAGAAGGAAGCTTAGAGAAATTAGGTGATTTGCCAATTAAGACCACACATAGCTAGAAAGAAACAATTGCTGTTGTTGTTGTTGTTAAATGCCATAAAGACAACTAAATTGGGGCTGACTCCAGTAGCCATTCTGTTATTCTTCTTTACTTACTACACTGTGTTTACACTGTGTTTAGTTTTCTACTCTTCTTGAAATGAGTTTATAAGATGTCACATACATACAAATCACATGCCAAAGCAGATCACAAGCCTGTTGTCTGAACCCCATGGTAGTAATCAAGAAATCTCGCCAAAGCTGAAGACAAATACTTTCTCATCCTTCATCTTCTCTAGTTATTTGGTGATTTCCCCCTCCTCAGTGAAGCTGAATATGCACATTGGAAGACTGTGTGCCAGATGGCATCTTTTCAACTTCACTTTATAAGTTTTTCATTTCTTCAAGGCAATTATAGAATGCAGTGGCTCTCTTATTGTTGGGAATGTTGATCTAAATTGCCCTAAAAATCTTAACATGTGCTTGTTGGGAGGCATCATCAGACATTCACCAGAATTAGCTCATGCTGAAAGTTCATGTGACTTTTCAAATGCATGTGTGTGCTTTTTAAATTTGGAAATGACAAAATACAGTACCCAAATATTGGTGTTCTACTTCCTCTGGTCAGTTTACATACAAGTAAGTATAGGTAATGGTAATCATATACCTTAAATGCTAACAGTAAATAATATGAGTAAATAGCTCTTTCCTGACTTCATTTGGGGATATTAGAGAGGGGAGGTTGTTGGCATGGATGCAGAAAGCAGGTGAAGGAGCTGACAGTTCCACTCTATCCACCTCCTGGGAAAGAACTCTTCACCCAAAAAAACTTACAGATGGTAGACCACTTTATCAGCACAACCCACAGGGCATACATGAGTAAAGGGAGCTCTGTCCCCAGGTAAATTCAGGTCTGTATATCTCATGTAAAGATTTACAGCCTCTGAAACCCTGTACAGGGTCCCTATGAGTCGGAACCGACTCCACAGCACATAACCAACCAATTACTAACATACGTATATGAAAGGGCTTCAAAAAGTTTATGAAAATGGTAAATTTTTCCTCAAGCTGTTTTGAAGCCTGTCATAAGTATATACAGGGACTTAGAAAAATGTGTGGGGAAATTCCATTTTCTTTTAACTCCGTTCTTTCATGAACTTTTTGGAGCCCCCTTTGTGTGTGTGTGTACTCCAACTCTCTTAGTTTTCATGCACACCTTGTTTTGCTATTGGCTTTTGGCTAGTGCCCTGTGATATAACTGTAACACTTTTATGGCACTATCAAATGCCAAGCTGTAACTACTTGCCAAGTTACAATGTGTTTTCTTCAACTCTGTAAAGTAAGAGCTATGAGTATTCTATTTTACAAATTAGGAAACTAAGAGAATCCATAAATGAGATAGTTCAAAAGTATCAATGTTGAGCTTTCAACCCTGGTTGCTCTCAAGTCTGTGCTCAGAATCAGTGCCTGAATAATCAGGTTTGGTTTGGGGCCTTTATACAAACCAGACATGATAGTGCAGAGCTGCAATTTCAGGCTACCTTCTTTTTAAAAAAAAACACTTTGACAATTTTCCCACCTTGATGATCTACATCTATATCTAGTCTCCTCTCTGGAATACATATATTTTTCTGTTCTCCAGAATCTTGATTTTATGCTATTGCCTTTCTCAGTGGGAGAAGCTTCTCTACTATACAACCAAAGCACATGACCACAATGTCAACAGTGTCCCTGGGTTGTGTGACCCAGACTGGTCTCCTTCATCATAGTCACACCTTTCTTTAAAGAGGTCTAGTCTGAGCATAGGGCAGCTCTAACTTCTTTTGGTTTTATCAAATAATTTTCGTGCCTGCTGTAACATTTCTCCACATTTGTAAACCATGCCTTAAGCATCTTGTAAGTAAGTGCATCAGCAGGAATCTTCGAGAGTTGTTATACATTCTGGTACTAAAAAAAATAGGCATGGTGGCCAAAAATGAAGTTGAAAGAGTTTAATCTCTATGTGTTAATGATTTAAGGTTAAGAGCATCTTAGATGACATTTTGGAAAAACTTCCAGAAGACTTTAACATGGCTGAAATAATGCAAAAATCTTCACATAGAAGCCCCTATGTGCTTGTTTGCTTCCAAGAATGTGAGAGGATGAACATTCTCCTTCAAGAAATCCGTAGGTCACTTCAACAATTAGACCTTGGTTTAAAGGTAAGTGGAAAACTGGGGCTGGGAAGACCCTGACACATTAGAAGATATTTGTTCACTAAATGGTCTTTTTTTTCTCCATGCAAGGGGGAGTTAACACTGTCTCCTGATATGGAAGTCCAACAATCTGCATTGTGTTACGACATAGTACCAGACACTTGGGGAAAGCTGGCGTATCCATCAACTTATGGCCTGGCCCAGTGGTAAGCTACTGGCATCCTTGCTGCACACCAACCCTCCCAGTCAGTGGTCTGGTTATTATGATTATTAACATTCTGAATCATGTTAATAATTGCACTTGGGACGTACTTAGATACTTCTGCCAACTGTATAACCAGTTTGATTTGAATTTCCTTCATTGTCAAAACTCAGTTGGAAATAACTGTGGCTCTCAATTGCCAGCCGTTAAGTCAGAGTCAGGGAGAAATTCAGATTCTGCCTCTTACTTATTAGCACTTTGATCTTGGACAAAACAACAACAACAACAACAACATAGCATCTTAACCCTTTCTGCCTGGGATTCTTTGTCTGAAAAAATGGAATAGAAACCCTTATGATATTGAATAGAAGACAACTTGAGTTTGCTCTCTTGTCATTTTATACCTTGATGTTACAAACCAATGGTGACTAATGCCATCTCATGTGTTGTTATGAACTCGAGTTCATTACAACTCATAGGAACTCTATGAACACAGAATGAAACACTGCTGGTCCTACACCATTCTCACAATTACTATATTTGAGAACACTGTTACTGCTACTGTACCAATCCATCTCATTAAGGGTCTTCCTGTATTTTTGCTGATGCTCCACTGTGCCAAACGTGATGTCTTTCTCCAGTAACTGTTTTCTCCTGATAATATGTCTTAAGTATGAGTGACAGTCTTGCTATCCTCTCTTCTAAGGAGCATTCTGGCTGTACTTCTTCCAACATCGATTGGTTTGTTCTTTCTGGCAGTCCATGGTGCACTTCAGTGTTCTCCTCCAACACAGTAACTCAAATGCATCAATTCTACAGTCTTCCTTACTCATCATCCAACTTTCACATGCATTTGAGGTGATGGAAATTGGCATGGCTTGGGTCAGACAGACCCCTTTTTTGCAGTGTTTGCCATAGTTTGTTATGATCCACATAGTTGAATGCCTTTGCATAGTCAATAAAACACAAGTAAACATCTTTCTGGCACTCCTGCTTTTAGCCAAGAGCCATCCGACTTCATTGTCCTCTTCTGAATCTGACTTGAATTTCTGGGAACACCCTGCAGATATATACTGCTGCAACTGATCTTGAATTATCTTTAGCAAAATTTTATTTGCATGTGATACTAATATTGTTTTATGATGTCAACATTCCACTGGGTTACCTTTTGTTGGAATGAAAACAGACATGGATCTCATCCTATCAGGTGACCAGGCAGCTGTCGTTCAATGTCTTGGCATAGACAAGTGAACACTTCCAGCACTGCATCAATTTATTGAAAGATATCAATTCCTAGAGTCTTGTTTGTCATCAGTGCCTTAAGTGCTGCTTGTATTTCAATAACATGGGTGCTTGATAATATACTACCTCTTGAAACGATTCAGCATCACCAAATTATTTTTGTTATAGCAACTTTATGTAGTCCTCCCCTATAACTTTGATGTTTCATGCATCAATCAATATTTTGCTAGTAGAATCCTTCACTATTGCAAATGCGGCTTGAATTTGTTCTTCAGTTGTTTCCGCTTGAGAAATGGAGCATTTCTTCCCTTTTGGTGTTTTAACTCCAGGTCTTTGCACATTTCATTATAACACATGACTTTGTCTTCTCAAGCTGCTAAGATTTTTCTCTTCAGAGCTTTGGCTTCATTTCTTCCCATTCATTGCTTTAGCTTCTCTACACTCACGAGCAAGTTTTCATCTCCTCTGACATCCATTTTGGTCCTTTCTTTCTTTCCTATCTTTTAAATTATCTTTTACTTTCTTCATGGATGACTTTTGCGCGTGTGTGAATTATGTGTTAGGTTACATGGGTGAACATTATCTTTATATTCATCCTGTTGTACTTTGTTTCACTGTAATGATCACAATCCCCTACATGCATCAGTAAACACCCAAAGTGTACACCCCATACTGCTGCCCTCCGGCCGCCAGCACACAATCCCTCTCCCTCCCTGAGTCCAGAGTCCCCAGAGGCTCCTTCTGTCCACATCATCGCCTGTCTCCATTCCTAGTGTCACTGCCTCCCCAGACAGAATCTCACATTTCGCTTTTCTTCCTTAGTGGTTCCAGGGATCTCTGCTCCTGGACTGCAAAATCAACGGCTTCCCTCCTTTTGTTACCAAACATTTACATTTATCCTTTCCAACACTCACTGTCAGACCTGATAGCAATCATTCCCTCAGGAGTCCTTTTCCCCCTCACTTTTTATCAACCCCATCCAGACTGGTTGGAAACAGTTCAGTGGAGATTCTACCCTTTCCTGTATCCTGTGGAGCTAGGTTCCCTATTGAAAGCTTGTAAGTCAGTCACTTCTTGCCTTTGTAGTCCCCCCATTTTGGGTAGCCAATGTCTTAAGTTCCCCCTCCCTCTGCTGACCCTGTGCACCAAGGAGGTGGGAATGATCCTCATTGTAGAGATTTGTCCGCTCCTTTGTCAGACTGCATCCACAAGCATAGGTCAAGTTCAATGGATGATGTTCTTGATGTCTTCCCACAACTTCTGGCTTTTGGTCATTAGTGTCTAATGCATCAAATCTGTTCTCGAGGTGGTCTCTAAATTCTGGTGGCTATACCCCAGGTCATTATTTTGGCTCTCGTGGACTTTAACTCCTTTCAGCTTGAACTTGCATATAAATAGTTGGTGGTTTATCCCAGTCGGCCCCTGGCCTTATTTTGGTTGATGATGAGCTTCACCACTCCCTGTTGCCACAGATGTAGTCAGTTGGATTCATATGTATTCCATCTGGTGAGTTTGCATGTATATAGCTGCCTTTTATGTTGACAAAAGGTATTTACAGTGAATAAGTTGTTGGTCTTGCAAAATTCTTTCATGCAACACCATCTCATTTAGGCTACTGGTATGGTGTTGTGGGTTAATGTGCTGGATTGCAAAGTTGGTTTGAACTGCAAGGTCAGTGGTTCAAGCTCACCAGCTGCTCCTTGGAAACCCTTTAAGGGTCACTATGGGTCGGAAACAACTAAGCAGCACATACCAACAACAATATGGTATGTAGTAAATTAGACTGCCATCAACCGGTGAATCTGAGTACAGAAATAGGTCACAAGGCCAGGGACAGAAAGTCTAGTTTACTCAGGGCCAGTGTGATCACTACTACTTGGCCTTGGCTTCACCCGATTCATAATTCCTGACTTTTGGGTTCTGAGATGTTTAACTCCACTTTCCTAAGTAATTCTTCCATGAATGAGAAGGCTATTTTGCACTCTGAGCTGGAAGGTACCATTAGAATCCCAAGTAACTACATTTGCCCTCCAGGTCCATGTGTTTGCCACTGGGATGGGCACAAACATAGTAGCCAGAGCTGCACTGTTATTATAAGCTTGTACAACTTACGCGAGAGAACCCCGGCAGGGAGAAGTCAGGCAAGCCTTTTACTGATTTCTACAGACCTTACACCATAAATAGCCAACATCAGCTTTCACACATTCTCTCACAGACTTCTATTTACAGTTAAATTTTTATTATTGATGACTTCACAGATTGCTACCACTTTATTTTGTATTTTTCATTGTTTTTAATTCAAACTATTGTTGGCTGAAAAGTTTCAATCAGTCCAACCCTGTACCATTTGTATTATCTTAGTGGTGACCATTAACAATTTAACAGATCCCACTTTTTTAACACAATGTTAAGTAACATTTTAACCTCCAGTTGAATATCAGTTACCTTCTGACCTGGAATTGTGGTTCAACCTTAAACAGTATTTTTGTCTTTATAGTCAGGAATTATTCTGCTATATCAACAGATTATCTTGATTAATCTATGCTCATTATTGCTTTTTGCATTTCACTCCTTCATTCCTGAGCTTTTTTTCCCCCTGAAGAAATTTAGCAGGATTTTGGGGGCAGTGGAAAGGTCTATGAGGTGAAACCTGTGTCTTAACTGCTTGATTTCCTAACACTTTTCAGTGAGCTTTCTGGGTTGCAGAATTGTTTATACAACCAGTATTTCCCCTTAGAAATTCAATGTTATAGCTGCATTGTCTTCTAAGCATCTACTGTAGTTCATGACTGTGTGCTTATTCCTTCACAACGAATCTATTCTCTTGCTTGCATGTCTTTAAGATTCTTCTCTTTACTCTTGAGGTCCTGTAATTTTTAGGTATGCATCTTATTTTTTAAATGTTTCTTGCTTGTTCTTGTGTGCTATTTTAAATGAGAGCCATCTGTTTCCATTCTGAGAAATCATCAGCCTTTATTTTTCTGAATATTTTCACTCTTTTCATTGTATTTCTATACCTTAACCTCTCTCATACTTTCTATCTCTAGTTCTCTTTTGTACTCTGGTTGATCTTCTTTATTGTACATTCAATTGTTTATTCTGTTGTTTCTCCCTTTAGTTTTTAAAGTAGACTATTTACTGGAGTCTACAAGGTTGCTACAAATTGGTACCAATTCAATGGCAATTAACAACAAACCCTCCTGGTGGATTTGCTGCTTTTACATTTTAGCCTGTTATTTTTACATTTGAATTGAAATGGGGCTGGCTATAATATTTTTTTTTTACAAATTGTTGGGTTTTGTAAATATTCTTTTCAGATGCGGCTACAGACAAGTCTGAGGCTAGCATAATTTCTTCCCTTTATTAATGGCTCCATGTCCTTGCCTGTCTAGAGGATGTCTATCTTCTAATTAAGATACCTCTTAATATTATTCTCTGCCAATCTTCCTTGGGACAGGATATGCCCCTTCAATAAAAATTCAAATATGTACCTTAAAAAAGCAGTCAAAATTTCTATACTTTACTAAATATTGCATTTCAGCTTTATTGTCTTTTATACTAATCCTTTCGTAGTTGTGGATTTCCACTTTAGTTTCCTTTTTCTTTATCCCTTCTATTTCTAAGCTCTGTTTATACAGGTAATCACTTCAGTTTCATTTTGTTGAAAATTACTTAGCAGCAATTCCATCCTTGTTGCTAGGTACCATCGAGTCAGTACCAACCCATAGCCACCTAATTATGCACAGCAGAACGGAACACTGCCCGATCCTGGGCCAATCTCTATATTGTTGCCACACTTAAGCCCATCCATGCTGCCACTTGGCCCAATCCATCCATTCATTGGGGGTCTTCTTCTTTTTCTCTTTCCCTCCACCTTACCAAACATGGTATCCTTCTCCAGCAACTGGTCCCTCCTGACAATATGTCCAAAGTATGAGAGACGAAGTTTGGCCATTCTGGCCTCCAAGGACCACTTTGGCTGCACTTCTTCCAACATGGATCTGTTGGTTCTGTTAGTGGTAACATACTGAGGTTCTTTTTTCTACCAGTGCATTTCCTATTCTTAGCTTTTCTTCCTTGGTCTTATCATTGTGTAGAACCTATGCTATTCTGTTACCATTTTCAAATAGATGTTTCCTACAGAAGCTATTTGCAAGGACTTAAAATGGGGCAGGGGCATGTTCTAAGCAAGCAGGAAATTTCCTTGTGGTGAAGGTTTATATATCCTTTCCTTCTTCCCGGCTCAGTCAGTGAAACACCTAGGCAGACATTTCTTACAATGGGGGTTTGCTGGAGTGATTCAAGCCTGCTGTCCGTTGCTTTTCTGAACCATACCAAGCCCCAGGAAGCTTCCTGGGTCACCCTGTGCCAGCTCCTGGAGGATCACTTTGCTGGCTTTTAGGGAGTTCCGTAGTGGCTCTCCTCTCTGCTTCTTCCCATATTCTTGTCCCATTCACCTACATTTCAAGGTTTCATAATGCTATCAGTTGGTCATTTCCCTTTAGGCTCCAATGAGCAGGCTTTCCCCCATAGGTAGATTGTAGACACTTCCTATCTTGCAAAATGTGAGGATACATTTCCTGATTTCCTTTAGTGAGAAAGCATACAAACTGCAGTGGACGTAGATGGTTTTCCTTAGTAACCTCTGCTTTCCCCCTTGCAATGATCATGTGTACTCTCCTACCTCTTTACACACTTTTCTGCTGCTTACCACCTCTTCTGTCAACTCTAGTCTTGTAACCATCCTCAACAGACATTCCTTCTGGTGTTCCCACTGTATCTGTACTACCACTATGTAGGGGCCAGTCTGATTAAAACAAAGATCACCTTTGTAAGCACCACATTATCACTTGTTAATAAGTACCATCAAGTATTCCAATTTATAATAACACTGTATAGGGTTTTCAAGGAGCAGCTAGTGAGTTTGAACCTCCATCCTTGTGGTCCAGTGCTTTATCCCACAGAGCCGCACATACCGTTGTTAAGTGCTGTTGAGTCGATGCTGACTCAGCAAACCTGTACAAGGTTCCTGAGGAGCAGCTTGGTGGGTTCGAACTGCCGAACTTGTGGTTCACAGTCCAGTGCTGATCCTAGAGCGCCGCATCAAGACTCTACACATTTCGTTAAGAGGATCTAAATAGTTGTTGAATAAATGATAGTGGTTCTTGCCCTGTGTTAACAAGATCTGCAGGTATAAAAATTGCAACAATAAGCAAAAACCAAAACGCCCTTGCTCTTTAGAGAAAGTGTCCTACAAACCCATCAGGTAACGATTTATGGGAAAAAAAGTGTTCTACCTTCTATGGGCTTAATGTATGGCACGTGTAGGATCAGCAGTTCATACCCACCAGCTGCTCTTCAGAATCCCTATACTAGGATCCCTATGAGTCAAGAACCGACTCAACGGCACTTTAACATGGGCTTAAGGAGCAGTGCGGTGACTGTAGTGTAGGCACTACACTGTAAGCCACAAGGTGGATAGCTCATGGTCACTATGACTCAAAGGTCATAGCAACGCGGGCTCTAACCCAGAACAACTGAGGACGGCACAGGGTCAGGCAGTGCTTTACTCTGTTGTTCACTATGAGTTGAAACTGACTCAAGGCACCCAATGACTACCACCTATTAACCAGAACAAACCTGGATATGAAAGTTGGTGTTTTCAAACCCACCAGCCTCTCTACAAAACAAAGTAGCAGTTTGCCTCTGTAAAAGCTGAACTCTTCATCAGAACTGACTTGCAGGTTTGATTCGATTTTTCCATTAACTAGGTTTAATGACCTCCTTTTGCGATGCCGAGAACTGGATACCTGGACCCAAGACCTTGTCCTTCCCGCTGTGGTGTGGCTCTCTGGATTCTTCAACCCACAGTCCTTTTTAACAGGTAAGGGCTGAGACAGGCAACTGTACATATTTTGGGCACAGGTTCCCTTATCTTGACTTGATTGCTTCTCATGCCCTGCAACAATCTGCGTGAAGCTGCCATTACTGTAAAGGGAATCGGAATGACCCTGGCCAACTACACAAGAGGTAAAATGTCAGGTGAGAAAGTGGAGGCCCCAGCAGCAGAGTGTGTGTGGCTCATTCTCGTGCAGAGAGAGGTTGGCCCATGGTTAGTTTGGCAGCCCCTGTCTGCCCTAATGCAGCCTGTAGGAATCCTCAAGAAGCAAAGTGCGCCTCAACATACCCATGGCTCCACAATCATCATTGTCATCATGCACAACTTGGTTCTGTTTTTTGAAAAATACAATTCACTGCTGGTTCCTCTCCTCCCAAAGCAATCATGCAGACCATGGCTCGAAAAAATGAATGGCCACTGGATAAAATGTGCTTGACTGTTGATGTTACCAAGAAGACTAAGGAAGATTACGGCCATCCCCCAAGGGAGGGCGCGTACCTCCATGGGCTCCTCATGGAAGGTAAGGGGCCAGGATGTGTGTTCAAGTTGAGCCAAACTTTGAGGCATTTGGGGCAATGCTGGTTAAATTTGCATAATCTAGTGCTCTGGTAGCGTAGTGGTTACGAATCGGGCTGCGAACCTTAAGGTCAGCGGTTCGAAACTACCAGCTGCTCCACGGGAGAAAGATGAGGCTTTCTACTCCCGTAAAGATTTACACCCTCGGAAACCCTGTACAGGGTCGCTATGGGTCGGAACCGACTCGACAGCACTTAACAACAAAGTGCTTTACTACTAGATTTCCAAGTTTATTTCAAGGAAGCACCACTAGTTCAAATGTTTATAGGCTCAGCAGGAGAAGCTAATGGTGACTGGAGCATGGTGTAGGCAGGAGGGACTGTGCATGCTCTTGTAACATCTATCATATTTTTTTAAAGGGGGAGGACTACTAGTAGTTTGCTTTTACAATGTTTTTTGAATATAGTTTTCGAGCATAGATTGAACTAACCTTGTATGTACTTCCAATGCAGAAAAGGCTTCTAAGCAGCAGGGATTCCATCTTCCTTCTTATCAATTACAGGTCAATTCAGGAAAAGACTACCACCAAGTCATAACGTGACGAAACTAGAACATTTATTGCTTTGAACAACAAAGATCTTTACAATATGCAATACGGTTGCACTCCCTGTGTTTTGCCGTAGGTGCCAGGTGGGACATGCAGTCAGGTACCATTGCTGAAGCCCGCCTCAAGGAGCTGACGTCCATGATGCCAGTCATCTTCGCAAAAGCCATACCCGTGGACAGACAGGAAACCAAACACACCTATGAGTGCCCTGTGTACAAAACCAAAAGGAGGGGCCCCAACTACGTGTGGACCTTCAGGCTGAAGAGCAAAGAAAAGACTGCAAAATGGGTTCTGGCAGGCGTGGCCCTGCTGCTGGAAGCATAAAGCCGTGGGCACCAAACATATTCCAGTTTCATGTAAATTTTAGTTTTTACACATGTATTAATTACGTAAAACATCATGCTTTAAGGGTAGAAAAAAAAAAGCGCAAATGTAAAAAAATGCTAGATGTCTATTCAGAAGCTATGCTCATCCCAAGCAGCCGTCTGAAACCCCAAGACACCTGTCCCTCAACCAAATACAGTGTCTTTTCAAGGTTCCACTGAACAGGCACACAAGTCTCCAAAGCAATATGGCTGGAGATTCCCATCATTAAGTGGGACTTTAGTGCTTAAGTAGCCCAGGACAGAAACAAGGCTTGGATGAAGAGGTGGATGCTCCTGCCGACCAGCAGCACTCTGAGCCCCAGTGTCTAGCATTGACAGCTACTGTTTTGTTGCATTTAAAGGTTAATAAAAATACAACTCTAGTACTCTAGAGTTCTGTGGTTAATTGCACTTTGTCTTGGTAATTTAGGGAAAACTTCTTTAGCATTAATTTCCTAGGGCCCAAAGCAGACTGGTCTGATAACAATGGTCACTCATGATAAGAAAAACTAGCCAGTATATATAATCCCTATGACCATACAAGGGAAGAGAGTTATACAATGTACAAGGCAGGAGCTGCTTCTAATATATTCTCTCTGTTGTAACTTACCTGGGTTTTCACTCCACCCCCATGTAAATTGTGCTTTTTCCACAGGTAAATGCTTGTAACAATTCAGTTTACACCCAAGTATCAATATTATACATGTATATTAGACTCGTAGATGCCGCCTGCTTTTGCTCTTTTCCTGAGAACTCTTTTGAAACATATGCTCTACAAAGAATTTCTGTATAAAAACACAACTGTAAAAAATCTTAGGCACAAGTGGCATGACATGTCTTGCCGGAGTCATCGATGGTGAGTTGACCGATTCCTTTACTTGTCTTCTACCAGCTGCTTTTGTAAGCTGAGAAAAAATGAAAACCGTTGGATAAAGTCGTTTGTTGGACAGAGGGAATTACAAAACAGCACTAGTCTCTTCAGCTTCAAACTACTCTCAGTATAAAAAGAAAGTATGAAAGCCAGAACTGGGGTGTTTCTTAATGATGTAGTAGTGCACACACCCTGCAGGCTTCTCAAGGGACCCACCTCATTCCTAGGGCTCAATACCATATTTTACACTTGTTACAGAAGTGAAACTTGCATGCCATAATTCTCTTTGTCCCAAGTACACGTCAGAGTCCGGAGTGGTGGAAACCATTCATGTATGTGGCTGCTACAACTCTGCCTCAGAATAAAGGCCTGGAAATCTACTGCCAACAACTTAGCTTCTGAGCACAGTCCTACTCTGACTGTCTTCGGTTTCTATAAATCAGCTGTCTGGTTTACAGACTGCCTAGATGGACCCGACTTACCTCTCCAGATACTCCTTCACGTTATTGTAGCCATAAAACTTGGCCAAATGAATGAGGATTCCTGTGGCACAGCGGCCGTCACGCTTCCGACAGTAGCTACAATTGCAGATCCCACGGCAAGGCGGACACATCCAGTCCTAAAACAGGTATGGAGGGAGATGTGAACCCATTACACACGGGTCCTGGAAAGGGGGAGATTCAGATCACATGCTCACGGGTCCTGGAAAGGGGGAGATTCAGATCACATGCTATCTTTCGAGGTGCTTGGCCAGGTGGATCAAATCACTCGACACCCAAGGAAAATCACAACCAGGTGGGTTTTAGCAGGGCTAGCTCTAATATTAGAAGGGCTCCGTGCACAGTGAGAATGCACTTGTCTGAAAATTAACGAATTTCAAAGGGCTGACAAAGTATTAACCAGTCACAGGCCCTTTTCGCAGCTACAGCGCTCACTTGCCCCAGTCAGTCAGCTCTAATTTTAGAAGGAGCATCTGGCTTTAGAACGGTGAAACAGACGTAGGTCTTCCACTTCCCAGGAGTTGACTGTTAGATGAAATAATTTGTCAGCTGGAGAGCCCGTCAGAGCCAGACTGCCCAGGCGCAGTAAGGTCAGACTTAGTGCTGTGGTTAGTATTATATGACGGGGGAACTGAGGCATAGGGAGGTTTTAAGTTTACTTAAGGCGTAGTGGTTACGAATCGGGCTGTGAGCCGCAAGGTCAACAGTTCGAAACTACCATCGGTACCATAGCAGAAAGATGAGACAGTCTGCTCCTGTAAAGATTTACAGCCTTGGAAACCCTGTGTAGGGTCGCTCTGAGTCGGAGCCGACTCCACAGCACACAACAGCAAGGTTAAAGAAGATGGAAGCAGTTTAGAATGGCCCATCAAGTCGTGCTCTGGGGCCAGAAGAAAACCCTACTTTCCCTTTCGGTCCAAGGATCCCCAGGCTTAAAAAATGCAAACCGTTCCTACCGGGTCCAGCAGAGCTGATCTCACATCCTCCCCGTAGCGATTCCGCAGACACGGCCCACAGAACTGCCCCCGCACGCCTCCGCAGCCCTGGTTCCGGCACACCGTCTTGGTGTCAATGGTCTTCTGCCGACACTGATGGCAAGTGTTGCCCTGAAGGAGTAATGTAGATGAGCAGAGGGTGTATTTACGGTCACGCCCAGGGAGCCCGAGGCTGTTTAACCTTCCTCCCAGAATCAATCATATTGCTTCTGCAGTACAAGCGATGGCACTGTCCAGTAGATGGTAAGCAATTTGGAGCCCTAAGGCTACAGAAAGAAGCATGAAGGCAGCCGAGGCCAAAAGGAACAAAATGACCTAGGTGGAGAGGGGGAGGCAGAGCCCAGTCCAGCGGAGAGTTCAAGCAGGGTGCTGAAGGTCTCCCTCTGTGTTTTATTTTCATACTACCTTAAGACAGTGTCCATTACTTATGGAACAAGAACCCTCAAAGAACACAAAGCCCCCTACCTTCATTTACAAGAAATTCAACTCAGAACTTTAGTCTTCTGTTATTATATGAGCAAAAATAAGGCCCAATGTTAAAAAAAAAACTATACAATATACCCATCTCCCTCAAAATTATATGCACCCCCAGAGAGATCTTTCTCCTGATAGGAAGTCTGCACTGAGCTATCTTCCGTTTCCCAGTTATTCTCCCATGGAACCACAGGCAGTTTTGAACTGCTGACCTTGAGGTTGGCAGCCCAACTCATAACCACTATGCTACTAGAGGCTCCATTTCCTAGTTACAGAATTTCCCCGTCACAGCCTGCCTTCTGAGCCCTCGTGGAAGTGGCACAAGGGACTTCCAACAGCTGAACAACAGTGCAAGACTCTCAAATCCAGTGCCTCCAACTCTTCATAATATACTGACTTACCAGAACTTTATCATAGATTTTATCTCGGACAGTTATGGCCACGTTTTCTAAGTCCTCTTCGGTGATGTCCTCCACAGGCCGAAAAGAAGAGGCACGGCGACGTCGCCTGTACCCCTGGCATTTCCCCTGCAAAATGAACACAAGCAGACAACCCCTCCGTACTCCAGCACCATCAGCATTAGCCCTCTGCTAATTGCCCCTCATCCACTGAGATGCTGCCAAGCTGCTTTCTAGGCAGGTGATACAACAAGAAACAAGAAACTCGGACGACTACTGGCTTTTAAACTCGTCAGGCTCAGGTAAGTTCAGTCAAGTGGCTATCGCTAAGTAAAAAGCCAAGCCCACCATTGCTCCCTCCAGGCTGAAAGCATTTAAAATGTCCCATTCATCAAGCGGAGGACCAGAAGGAACCACTGCCCATTCCTACATGCAAACCCAAGGAGTCTGGATAACGTTTACTGGAGCCCAAGGTAGGTCATGACCACTGAGCTGCTCCACAGTGCAGCGCAATGGTGCTTCTCAAAGGGTGCTCCCAGGACCAAGCACCACCTCAAAATGCATCTTCTCAGCTGCCCCAGTCCAAGGAAAAACTGAGTTAGACACTGTGCTTTCACAAGCCCGTGAGCGAGCACAACATCTGCTCAGCTTTGAGGACCACTGGCTTAGTTAGGCAAAGAATAACTAGTTCATTATTGCAGTAAATACCCCACTAATTGTCTTCCTTCTTCTGAAACTGTATAACTCTTCTGCAAAGTTGGCAGTCGACACAGTGAAGCTCTCCAAGGCGAACTTCTCCGGAGGCCGAGCACTCCGGGTGGGGTTCATGCGTCGTGGCATCTGTCCCTCCGAGAAGGCCCGCCGCACAGTTTTCTTCTGAAACCAAGACCACAAACACATGCACCAGGTGTGTTCTTGGCGATAGATTACTATGCCAATATTGGTTTATGTAACTGAAAGGAATTCCACTTACCGAAGCTGAGTTGGGGGTTCGCACTGGAAAGAAATCTGGCATAGAGTTCAGTTCAGCCAGTAACTGAGCAAGCTGAAGTGCAAAACCAAAGAAAGGATTTCATGTTAGTACTGCCAGATCTAGTCCAGCCAACACCTACCACACCGTGCGAGCTCAGGACAACCTGAATTCACCTAAAACCTCAACAAGTGTTATACTTTTAACCTCCGATTTAAAGACTTTGTCTCCAGAGGTGATGCTGATATCATATAAATTAATAGAATGTATGCTCATTCCTTAAATATTAGGACCTAATGACACGGTAACAGCTGTCCTGGGGTAGACTAGGTCTGAGGCCAGATTTTGACCCTGCTCACCTGAACCTCACTTGCACCGTGTTCAAAGAAACGGCTCGAATAGGTGATCCTCCTGGTTCTTTGAGAGTTAATACCTTTGTCGATAAATTATTCCCAAACACCTTATTAGATTTCTGGCAGCATAGTGGTTACAAATCGGGCTGCTAATCTCACGATCAGCAGTTTGAAACTACCAGCAGTTCTGTGGGTGAAAGATAAGGCTTTCTGCTCCCGTAAAGATTTACAGCCTCGGAAACCCTATGCAAGGTCACTATGGGTCGTAATCGACTTGACAGCACTTAACAATTTGCCCATCAGAAAATTTGTTCATTGGGATTCATTTTCAATTTATACAAATGTATGGTGTCGATGAAAAAATAATGGCATAGTCTTATTTTAAAGATGTAGACCAATAGAATGCTAAAAATTCCCCTCTGTGAAACAGACAGGTCTTAGGATAAAAATGACTAAAAATCAGGCTTTAAAGAGATTATTGTTTTTAGGTATGATACACCGCTGCTGTTCTGTGCCGTCCGAGTCCGTTCTGATTCATAGTAAGCCTGTTTAGGTTCTCCAAGGAGCAGCTGGTGAGTTTGAACTGCCAAACTTGGATAAGCATTGGACTGCTAATCATGAGAGCAGCACACCAGGAGGAGGATACACAGATGTTCACATATACACATATATATGATCAGAGAAATATACCCCCGTTTTATTGCAGACACTGCGTTTTTCACAAACTGGCAGTCATGTACCGGCACCATTTTTCCAACAGCAATGCTCACATTTCAACAGTTAATAGACTACAGTACAGTACTAACATTTATATGCAATTCGCTTTATTGTAGTCGTCTGGAATCAAACCCACAATCTCCCCAAGCTATGCTTATACACCCAAATTTTGAGTTGTGTACCCACTGCCGTCGAGGCGAATGGATTCTGACCACCCCTGGGGCTTCCGAATCCAAAGGCTGTGACTATTTATGGAAGAAAACTGTCCCATCTTTCTGTGGAGTGGCTGGTAGGTTTGAACGGCCCATCTTTTGGTTAATAGCTATGTCCTTTCACCAGGGCTTCTAATTGGATACATAAGCTTGTATCCTTTTTTTTAAAAAAGGTAAACATTAAAGGAACAAAAAATGCACCAAATTGCTGTAAGTGTTTGAGTGGTAGGATATTTTTTAAAATCTTAGGTTAACAGTTCAAACCCACCTGCTGCTCCTCTGAAACCATCTAGAGCTTGGCTCTGAGTTGGACTATATTAAGGCAGTGACCAACAGCAGCAAAATCAGTAAGTCAACGATCAGCTTTAACAGATACTGCTCCCACATGGGAACACTAAAACTAATTACTCTGATGAAGACATTTTAAAATGAAAACTGCTTGAGCTGGTTTTCTTCCTATGAATCTTCCATTCCTTCAGATGATGTCTCAAAAGCATAGTTGTTCAACACCAGAGAGCAGAGTCTGGACTGAGAGCTACCACCCTGACTAGGGACAGCTTGTTTATTCTGCAGCTTCTTTCTGCTATGGACAGACCACCACTGAGCCATCTCATGCCCGATACCGCTGTTTATTTAGAACGTAACCTGATAAAACAATAGCAGCATTAGCTCATGGCACTAACTGGAGCATAAGAGTTAATCATGGAACACCTGCTCTGGCTTGTTGTTGTTGTCAGGTGCCATCGAGTCAGAACCGACTCATAACCACCCCGTGCACAGCAGAACGAAACAATGTCCGATCCTGGGCCAACCTCACTACCGCTGCCACACTTGACGCCATCAATGACGCCACCTGGCTGATCCATCTCGTTGGGGGTCTTCCTCTTTTTCTCTGACCCTCCACCTTACCCAGCATGACATCCTTCTCCAGTGACTGTTCCCTCCTATAAACCCTCCGATCCTCCAAACATACCTTTATATTCCTGCTCTGGGTACTGGATGAGAAAATGGGTATATAATACCCGGACCACATTTACCTGACAGAAGGCAAAGCAACAGCAGCTGGACGGACAAAGGAGCTTGGTGCGCCTCAGCAAAGTGCTGGACAGAGCCCACAGTTGGTCTCCAGGCTGCCCGCGCAGAGCCTTACCATGGCTTTGTTCTCCTTGATGTTCATGGTCCTTTTCAGCAGGGCATCTGAGCTCTCTGGGTCCTCATCCCTGGAGTCATCCTCAGACTCAGAAACAGACTCTTCCCTCTGCTTCCTCTCTCTGCCAAGAACTGCCTTCTTCTTACCCTGGAGGCAGGAGCTAGAGCGGGATGGCTCTGAGGAACTGCTTTTCTTCTCTGACTGACTTGCCAGTTTCTTGGTGGGGAACTGAAAGGCTACTCGAAGGCCGAGGCTGCTTCTTCTAGGCCTGCTTCTAGATGTAGCCTTTTCTTCTTCTTCTTCTTCTTCCTCTTCCTCACTCACTGAAGATGCTTTGCTGTCATCACTGAAATCTGACTCCATGCACTAACCAAAGAAAGAACAGAGATGCATTCTGTAAGAGGCCTTCGGAAGAGACATACATATTTAGTTAGAACTACTCTGACATTGGGGAGTGGGGTGGCTCAGCAGGATAAGCACTGGACTGCAAACCATAAGGTCGATGGTTCGAACCCACCAGCCACTCTATGGGAGAAAGATGAGGCATTCTGCTCCAACAAAGATAATATCTTCAGAAACTCTTTACAGGGTGAGTAAGAACTGTAAGAACTTATTTGACAGCACTTAACAACTCTTGACATTGTTGTTGGGAAAAAGATGAACCACTGAAAGCTTTCTTTGCTATCCTATTAGGTTCCACTGAACTCTTCAACTAAATGCTCAAGAAGTTTGTTAATGAGTAAAAGTAAAGGGCGAGCAATGTACTACTACCGATTCCTGGTGATATGTCCCATTCAGGCTTTAGGCAAAAAACACCAACGAGGTGGGACTCCACAGTAACTACAAGGTCAGCCAGCACCCCTGCAGGGCGATTATGTGTCACAGCTGGTAACCAGGTGAGGACAATGCTTCCTTGTCAGATGGGAGAGACATTTCCACCCGTTCTCACTAGGGTGGGCAGGCAACTAGATGAGGGGCAACAATGACATTTCTGAGTCTTCAAGTAATGTTTGCAAATGAACATGCCCTGAATTGTATATTATATATTGAAGGTAAGTGCCATTCAAGTCCGTTCCAATTCACAGCAACACTGTGAAGGTTCTTGAGGAGCAGCTGGTGACTCTGAACCATTGACCTTGTGGTTAGCAGTCCAGTGCTTATCCTATGGCGCCACACCATAATTACTACAAAGTACACAATATGTATCTTAAATTTATAGAAGCTAAGGAAAATAAAATATCAACAAGACTTTTGGAGTACTTTTACCCCGCAGACAGAGATTCTTCGACTCACCAGAGATCACTTAGCTAAAGAACTGAAGATAAATCAGTAAGAGGAGACAATACCAATTAGGGTTTGGAACGATCTTTGTATCTTGCTGGCAAGAATGTGGGGGCTGACTGGCCAGAATCAAGAGCTGCCACACAAACAGCTTCTATAGAGAGCCAAAGGAGACCCGGGGCCAACAGCTGGCACAGTTGGGTATTTCTATTCATGGAAAGCATCACCATCCAACAAGGCAGCCTACCATTAGAGCTTTCATACCTCAAGCTCTTCTAGGAAAAGATGAGGGCAAAACAAAAAGAGGAGTCACTGCTTATTTATACCCTATGCAGGATCCATGCCAAACCAAAACTTGCTCCTTAGGTACTTGTGCATGTGAAGAGGCTTAAACTTCGTTTCATCTTTTACCTTGATATGGAGGAAGATAGTAGTATGTAATTTTTTGGATAAAAGTATGTTTTCTCAGCTGGTACAAAAATATTCCTGCGTTTCAGTAAATTCAATGTTGCTCTTTAAAGTTACCCTGGAGAGTAAATGGGCCTAACCATAGGGAATACAGAGAACAACTGATAAGTCTCTTAATGACGATGTGCAGAGAGATCTCCCTCAGAATCACGCTGGCCCACATTGTTTATACTAAAAGCATGAAGCATCTAAATCCAGAACGCACCCTGAGTGTTGGTGAGGATGTGGAGAAACTGGAACCCTCACGCACTCACTACTGGCAGACATGGAAAATGGTTTGGTAGTTCTTCTGAAGTTAAGCCTAGAACTAACTGCCTGCCGTATGACCCAACAATTTCACTCCATACTTTAATACCAAAAATAGTTGAAAGCAGAGACTCCAACAATAGGAGCATTATTCCCAATAGCCAAAGGGATAACACCACCAATGTCCAATGGACACAAGTGGACAAGCAAAAGGTGATAAAGACAAACAATGGAAGACTATGTAGCCACAGAGACAAATGACATTCCAGTACAGATGCCAGGACATGGAAGATCATTGTGCAAAGTCAAATAAGCCAATCACAAAAGAACAAATATTATATGATTCTTTATATGAAATGTGGAGAACAGTCAAATGTATACACAAAGCAGATTCAGGCTAATGCTGAAGAAAATTAAAACAAGTTCATGAGAGCCAAAATATGACCATGAATATATCCCACCTGTACTTAGAGATCATTTGAAGAGCAGATTTGATGCATTAGACAGTAAAGACCGAAGACCAGAGAAATTCTATGACCTCAAGAACATCATACAGGAGAAAGCAAAAGATCATTAAAAAGACAAGAAGGAAAAGACCAAAAATCGATGTCAGAAAATACTGTGAAATTTGCTCTTTAGTGTAGAGACGCTAAAGCAAATGGAAGAAGTAAGTAGGTACAAGAGCTAAACAGAAAATTTCAAAAGGCACCTCGAGAAGACAAAGTCAAATAGCACAACAAAACATGCAAAGACCTGAAATTAGAAAACCAAAAGGGAAGAAAGAACACACTCAGCATTTCTCAAGCTGAAGGAACTGAAGAAGAAATTGAATGATGCAGAAAGCATCAAAAGACAGAAGGAATACCAAAAAGAAATTGTCAATGTTCAACCATTTCAAGAGGTAGCATATGATCAAGAGCCAGTGACCTGAAGGAGGAAGTTTACAAATTGAAATCTTTCAACAAACTGATGTGGCACCGGAGGCACTCACTCATCTACGCCAAAAAATTTGGAAGACAACTACCTGGCCAAATGACTGGAAGAGATCTGTATTTGTGCCCAATCCAAAGACAGGTGACCCAGTGGGAAGCAGAAATCATAAGACAGTAATCAATGATACCCCTGCAAGTAAAGTTGTACTAAAGATGATACAAAAACAGTTACAAGCATACATTGATAGAGTACCTTCAAAGGTTCAAGCTGGATTCAGAAGAGGATGTGGAACAAGAGATATCACTGCTGATCTAAGATGGATTTTGTTTGAAAGTAGAAACTATCAGAAAGATGTTTACCTGTGCTTCATTGACTATGTATGCAAAGGCTTTCGATTGTGTGGATCATGACAACCTATGGCCAACACTGCAAAGAATGAGTATTCCAGAACACTTAATTGTGCTCATGAGCAACATGTACATAGACCAAGAAGCAGTTGTTCGAACAGAATAATGGAACACTGAATGGTTTAAAATCAGGAAAGGTGTGTGCCAAGGTTGTATTCTTTCACCATACTTATTCAGTGTGTATGCTGAGCCCATAATCTGAGAAACTGGATTATATGAAGAAAAATGTGGCATCATGATTGGAGGAAGACTCTTTACCAACCTGCAATATGCAGATGATGCAAACTTGCTTGCTGAAAGTGAAGAGGACTTAAAATACTTACTGATAAAGATCAAAGACCACAGCCTTCATTATGAGTTGCATCTCAATGTAAAGAAAACAAAAATCCTCACCACTGGACAAGTTAACAACATCCATATAAATTGAGAAAAGATTGAAGTTGTCAAAGACTTCATTTTGCTCGGATCGACCATCAACACTCATGAAAGCAGCAGTAAAGAAATCAAACAACATATTGCCTAATGTGTGCCTGACCCAAGCCATGGTATTTTTCAATAACCTCACATGCATGTGAAAGTTGGACAGGGAATAAGGAAAACCATAGAAGAATTGATGATGCTTTTGAGTTATGGTGTCGGAGGAGAATGCCCAAAGAACCATGGACTGCCAAAAGAACAAACAGTTCTGTGTTGAAAGAAGTACTCTGGCTAGAGTGCTCCTTGGAAGCCAGGATGGCCAGACTTCGTGTCTCATACTTTGAACATATTATCAGGGGGACCAGTCCCTACAGAAGGATTTCTTGTTTGACAAAGTGGAGACTCCCAGAAAAAGAGGAAGACCCTCAATGAGATGGATTGGCACAATGGCAGCAGCAGTGGGCTCAAGGCATAGCGACAATGATTAAGTTGGCTCTGGACCAGGCACTGTTTGTTTCCTTCCGCTGTGCATAATGTCGCTCTGAGTCAGTACTGACTGAATGGCACCTAACAACAACAACAAAAAGAGGGGTGAGTGGGAAATTAATACCTAATGGTTTCCAAGTTTCTGTTTGGCATAAGGGTAAAGTTTTGGAAATAGATAGTGGTAATGGTTGCACAACTTCAAGAATATAATTAATGCCACTAAACTGTATACTTAAAAATGGCTAAAATGGAGTGAGACATGGTTGGAATGAGCAAAAGTGGGAAATAATGTTAAGATGCTTGGCTGTCTTTTGAATCTTGGTTTCCCTGGAATACCATTATAAAATAGACACTCGAGGGAGAAAGAAAGGAATAGCCAGAAATAACACCATGGAAAGCTTGTAAATCTGTCTTTTGCCTATAGCTGATTGGAATACCTAAAATGGGCCTACAACATGCCTAGTGAAGGAGACTACGTGCAGAGCCTCTGTATTACATAAGACCATAGGTGGAATCCTGAACCCCATCCAGAATCTTTTGAAGTGGGAAATTTTCCCTTGAAAGGACAAGCAGACCAGGCCTGAAGCAGCTAGAAGAACACAAGATGCTTGTTGAAAAATATAAAACAATGTAGCCAGTCCAACTGATTACTACAAGAACAAGCAAGTTGCCAGCCCAGGAGACATCAAGGCAAGTGGTCGGGTTCCCTCAGAGCAAACCCCCTTCCAAGACTAAAACTCAATGAGAATACACAAGCAGACATGCGCTCTGATTGGTGACCACATTTATCACCGATAGGGGAAGCGAGGGAAAAACAGTAATGAAGCTGCAAGCTAAGCCCTACGATGTTCAATAGACTCCTATGAACCTGGGTGGAGACCTGGTTGGCCAGCAGTATGGCAAGACCTGGGGTCTCTTGGGCCCATAGTCAGTAACACAGCCACAGAGGACTAGAGTGCAGAGTGAAGCATCTAGCTGATAAGAAGAGAGGGCACAAGAACACCCACACTTGCAGATAATACCCACTTGACCTGGCTTCAATGACTGGATGATCAGAGCTAAACTATAAGATGAAAGAAGAGGAAAAAAAGGGTAATCTGGTACAATTTGATGACCTTGACCTACACGTAGGGATGCAGTAGCTCAAAAGAGGGAACAAATCTTTACAGCAAGGATCATTCCTACCCCTTCCATATACAGAGTAGACAGGGATGGGCAACTTGGACACTGGCTACCCAAAATGGGGGGGCTACGAAGGCAAGAAGTGACTGGCTTACAAGCTTTCAAGAGGGAGCCTAGATCCAGAGGGCATCGAGGAAGACAGATACTCCACTGTGTGTAGTATCCAATCTGTCAGGGCAGAACTGATGAAAGGAGATACAGACAGGTCTCTTGTGGGATACAATAGTGAATAATTGCTATCAGGACTGACTGTGTGGATTGGAAATGTAAAGGTAGATGTTTTGTAGCAAAAGAAGGGGAGTGATTTAACTTTGCAGTCTAGGAGCAGAGGTCCCTGGGACCTAAGGGAGAAGAGCAGAGCAGGACGCTACCCAGAGAAGCAGTGACGCCTGAGACAGAGACAGAGATGATGAAGTGGAGAGATGGAGCAGCTGGGGACTCTAGGGGATGTGTGCTGACAACTAGGGGGCAGGCTTGCGGGTGTACTCTTTGGTTGATTGATGACTGTAACCATGGCAATGAAACGATAAATACAATAGGATGAATGTAAAGCTAATATTCTCCCATATAAACTATCACATAAATTCACAATAAAACATTTTTTTAGAAAATGGCTAAAATGGCAAATTTTGCATTATCTGACCACAATAAAAATTTAAAAAAAAAATTTTTTAAAGACAAAATAATGCCTATGAAAATTCAGTCTGTACCACAGCTAAATTTTTGCCTAATTAGTTAGGTTCAATTAGAAAAAAGTTTTAAGGAACTTGTTTCTCTCCATGACAGAATGAAAAGATTTAAAAAAAAAAAAAAAAGGTTCAAGAGACTCCTTATAAGGTCTGGAAGAGAAGCGTCCAAAGGCAGAAGACGACAACTGGCTTATTTCCTAAGAGAAGAGTGGGCTAGTGGAACAGGGATTAGTCTAAGAGTGGCAATTTTTGTATTATGTTAATTTGCTTATACAATAAATCTATAAGAAAAAGTAAAATCTTTTCATTTGTGAAATGACTTCTCACATATAAAAAAACAACTGGGGAACAGAACTAAAAATATTACAGCCCACACAACTTCACGTCGATAATTATTACCATTACTTCTGAGTCACTGTTTACTTTCAGATCACTCTGCGGAAATCCTTCAAAATCTTCTGTCTCTGAGTCAGTGTCTTCTACAAAAATTCTCCTTAGCTCCTCTGTGAAGTACTTGGAATGGAAGCATACATCCTGCAGGATTAAAAACATGTTGTTGTTAAGTGCCATCGAGTCAGTTCCATCTCATAGCCTGTATCCGGTTCCCAAGGAATGGCTGGTGAGTTTTCACATTTTCTCAAGCTCACCAAAATGAAGGGAGCCCTAAGTGTGGTGCTTTGGGTTAATGCGCTGGACTGCAAGGTCAGTTTGAACCAGGTCAGAGGTCCAACCAAGATCACCAGCAGATCCTCGGAATCCTCTGCAGGGTCGCTATGAGTCGGAATGGGCTTGATGGCACTTAACAACAACCACCACCAAAACAGACTGTTTCAAAGCATCAGAATGGCTGTAGTTTAGGCAGCTGCTTCAATGAACAGTAAGTTAAGATGGAATTCAGTCTCCTGGCACAGCGGCCAATCACACAGAACAAAATCACATGGAAAGAGGCAGCCGTGCAGGGGAAGCCTGGCTCCCTGAGCTGGCCTTCCTTCCTTAGCCATCCCAGCCTGAGCCCTGTCCCAAGGGGTGAGCAGGCCTCCCCTCAAGAGTGAGGGGCTCTCATAAATGACAAGGTTCCCCTGAAGCAGATGGCTGGGGATTTTCACACCCCTCGCTACCTGCCCTTGAAGGGATTGAAGCTGGATGATTACAGTCCCTTTGATGGTGTAGGTAATAGATGGCAGACTGAAACCCCCCTGGCTCCTGCGAGTTCCTCCCTGAACGAAGGGACAAGTGAGCAGCCCTTCGAGCTACTACAAGTGATGGAGAGATACCATGTGACTACCTCAAAGAAGAAAGAAGAGAAAGTCATTATTGGAAAATACCTTTCTTAAACTTTAACCAGAAGTCATTAGAGTCAATTCCAACTCATGGCACCCCATGTGTGTCAGAGTAGAACTACATATTCCAAGAGGTAGTCAAGGCTATGACCTTTTGGAAGCAGGTGGCCAGGCCTTCCTTCAGAAGTTCCCCTGGGTACACTGGAACCACCAATCTTACAGTTAGTAACCTAGCACGTAACCAACTGTACCATCCAGGGATCAAAAGAAAGAAACTTGGCTCTCTCATTAGCATGCTTTAAAGAGAAGTCAGCGAGACAAGCAGATCAGAAGGGAGACCCCACAAACCTTCCCGCTTCAAGCCAGCAACGCTTCTCCAGGCTCAAGTCTATGTTCTACTCCGTCCTCCCCTGCCAGATATAGCAATGACCCCTCGTAACAACACATTTGGTCGAGAATTTTTATCTCCCCTCTGCCTTCCCCTGACTTTAATTATATACTTCCTCGGGCTCAGATAATCTCTGGAGAAAAATAGATATAATAGACGAGTGGGGAAACTTACAGGGATACAGAGAAAGAAATGCCTACATCCAGCATTTTTTTTAAGCTTAAAAATGTCTCCTATGAATTATTATGGGTAATTGGAGTAAGTTTGCTGGGAGCTAAATTACTTTGTTCCTTTGTTGATTGCTGTGGTGCAGCTGCTTGGAGGGATTAAAAAAAAAAAATACACACAAAAAGAAGTCTCTTTAAAGTGAGATTCAGACATGTTTGCAGGAGACCAAAGTCGGCATACCCATGGAGGGCTGATTCACACAGCTTCTTGAAGCTGCTGTCAGGGTGGGTAACTAGGGACAGGATTTATGATGAAGGAAAAGCAATACTACTGGCTCCTGAGGAAAACCACTTTGAGCCGGGTGCCTCCATGGGCAGGAAACATCTGCTGACAGAGTCCCGTGTAAATTGTTCTATCTCCAAAGCCCCTGCTGGGGCCAGAAGGCAACAGGCCAAGGTTTGGAGCAGAAAGTTCCACGCTTTCAGTCCCCGGACCCCTTCCATCTCTAGATACCTTGCACTGCTCTGACAGGACAGTGGTTAGACAAAAGAAATCAATGTCTTCAGGGGCCAATTCTGACAGAAAAATAACGGAGCCGCGTTCCTACCCTGAGGCATGTGCTCCTGGTTCCCTAATACAAACGTGCAGAAATGGCTTTTACATAGGACTTTGTGAAGCCACTCTTCACTCCCTGGAATTCTCTGCATTCATTCTTGGTTCAACCTTTGCACAACTCCTCACTCTAGGAGACCTGCTTGTTAGCCTTCAAAATCAATGCTAAGATTCCTGGGTGGCACCAATGGTTTGCGTTCAGTTCGTAACTAAAAGGTTAGTGGTTCAACTTGAGGACAATATGTTAAGTGAAATTAGTCACAAAAGGAGAAATACTGCATAGGACCACTACTATAAAAGACTAAGAAAAAGAACCCATACTAAAGTGGGGGGGATTCTTTGCTTGTTACCAGGATGTGAGGGGTGCAGTGAGGGGTGGGAGGGGAAGGTGGAGCACAGGGTAGATAATAGACACAGATAGTTTGGGTGCTAGGGAGGCGGGCTATATACAAGAAGGGGGAGGGGAATGGAAGAACAAGACGGATGGGAAAACATTTAGGCAGTATGCATGGGCTAAGAGGGACAGAGGTAAATGATGATGTATGCACAACCTTGGAACAACAGGACTTTGGGATACAGGGATTGAGACATGGCTGGAATAGGGGACAGAGGGGAATAATGTTAAGATGCTTGGCTGTCTTTTGAATCTTGGTTTCCCTGGCATACCATTATAAAAATAGACACTTGAAGGGGAGGGAAAGGAATAGTGAGAAATATCACCATAGAAAGCCTGTAAGTCCGTCTTCTGCCTATAACTGATTGGAATACCTAAAATGGAGCTACAAGATGCCCACTGAAGGAGGCTTCCTGCGGAGCCTCTACAATACATAAGACCACAGGTGGAATCCTGAACCCCATCCAGAATCTTCTGAGGTCGAAAATTTCCACTTGAAAGGACAAACAGACCAGCCTGGAGCAGCTAGAAGAACAGAAGATACTTCTTGAAAAATATAAAACAACATAGGCAGTTGGACTGATTACTACAAGAACAAGCAAGTTGCTCGCCTAGGAGACATCAAGGCAAGTGGTCAGTCCCCTCAGGGAAAATCCCCTTCCAAGACTATGACTCAATGGGAATACACACTCTTATTGGTGACCATGTTTTTCACTGATAAGGGGAAGTGAGAGAAAAACAGAAATGAAGCTGCAAGCTAAGCCTTACAACATCCAATAGACTCCTGTGAACCCTGGTGGAGACCTGGTTGGCCAGCAGTGTGGCAAGACCTGGGGTCTCTTGGGCCCAGAGTCAGTGACATAGCCACAGAGGACTAGAATGGAGAGTGAAGCGTCCAGCTGATAAGAAGAGAGGGCACAAGAACACCCACATTTGCAGATAATACCCATTTGACCTGGCTTGAATGACTGGATGATCAGAGCTCAACTAGAAGAAGAAAGAAGAGGAAAAAAAGAGTAATCTGGTACAATTTGATGACCTTGACCTACACCTAGGGATGCAGTAGCTCAAAAGAGGGAACAAGTTTACAGAGAGGATCATTCCCACCCCCTCTGTACACAGAGTAGACATGGATGAGCAACTTGGACATTGGCTAGTCAAAATGGGGGGCTACAAAGGCAAGAAGTGACTGGCTTATAAGCTTTCAAGAGGGAGCCTAGATCCAGCGGGCATGGAGGAAGGTAGAATCTCCACTGTGTAGTATCCAATCTATCAGGGCAGGGCTGATGAAAGAAGATGCAACTAGGTCTCTTGTGATACAATAGTGAATAAATTGTTATCAGGACTGACTGTGTGGGTTGGAAATGTAAAGGTAGATGTTTTGTAGCAAAAGGAGGGGAGTGATTAACTTTGTAGTCTAGGAGCGGAGGTCCCTAGGACCATCAATGGAGAAGAGCGGAAAGCGGGACCCTACCTAGAGAAGCAGTGATGCCTGAGATGGAGGCAATGATGATGATGTGGAGATAGAGCAGCTGGGGGCTTTAGACAGAGAGAGGGAGAGGGAGAGGGGCTGTGTGCTGACGACCGGGGGCAGGCTTGCAAGGTATATACCCTTTGGTTGGTTGATGATGCATGGAGGGGATTGTAACCGTGGCAATGAAATGATATACAACAGTAAGAATATAAAGCTAATGTTCTCCCATGTAAACTATCACATAATTTACAACAAAACGTTAAATATATATATATATTCTGGAACTAGAAAAAAAAAAAAAAAAGGTTAGTGGTTGAAACCCACCCAGTGGCATCAAGAAAGAAACAAGTCTGGCAATCTACTTCTAAAATTATCACAGCCAAAACAAAAAACCCTATCTATTGCTCTGTAAAACCTTCATCCAATTCACAATGAAAAGTTAAATATAAAAGTAAAAAAAGAAAGGGAAACCCTATGGAGCAGTTCTACCGTGTAACACATGGGGTCCCTTAAGTCGCAGAGCAACAACAACCATGCAATCAACAGCAACATTAATGCCTAGCAGCAAGGGGTGTACCTCAGGGACCTGAGTCTACCATGAGCCTTTTATTTCAAAGCTCATGGGACATGTACAAACAAAGCGGACAGCAATGACCTGCTACACCATGATAGATTAAACACCCTCTGGTCCTCATTCTGTAAGGGGTGCCTGGTGCTCAAAGCAAGAGGAGAGACAATATGAGGACAGTCAGAACCAAGAAAGCTAGAAAATACCACTCAAGTATGACGTTCCTTCCTCCCAGGAGCTTACAGTCTACAAGGGAACCATTTGCTGTTGTTAAGTGCTGTCGAGTTCGTTTGAACTCATAGTGACACAGTACAGGGTTTCCCAGGAGCGTCTAGTGAGTTTGAACCCGCCGACCTTGTGGTTCAAACCAACCTTTTGGTCCAGTCGTTTATCCCACAGCACCACACCAAGGAGCTATACAGGACCACAAATGACCAAAGGAAGGTTAATGCTGTAAGGAAGGCATGACGGAAATACGGGCACAGAGAGGCGGAAAACAGTAAGACTTGGGGGAATAAGTCCTATTAGAGCTGGGCCTGAATGGAGAGAGTCTTAAAGCAAGGAAAAGTTCAGGCAGGCAGGGTAAGCAGCATAGAGCACCGCTCAGCTGCGGCCAAATTACGCATGGTGACGGAAGCAGCAGAGTTCCTGGTCTGCTGCAGCACACTGGGCAGAAAATGGCTATAGGAGAAAACCAATGGCCGCTGAGGGAACTCCAACTCATGATGACTCCAAGTGTGTCGGACTAGACTGTCTCAGAAGTACCCCACCAGGCCTTTCCTGAGAGGTGCCTCTTGGTAAAGCTGAACCTTCAAATGTTTGTGTTAGCAGTGGGTATGGTAACTGCCTGTACAGCCGGGGACTTCAAGAGGTGGAACCACACTGCTGTCAAGCTGATTCTAACTCACAACAAACCTACTGTTGTTCAGTGCCATCAGGTTGGTTCTGACCCATCATGACCCCGTATAAAGTTTCCAAGGAGCAGCTGGTGAGTTTGAACCGCTGACCTTGTAGTCCAGTGTATTAACCCACAGCACCATAGCAAGATGCCACAGCAACCCTATAGGACAGAGTAAAACTCCACAGAGTTTCGGAGACTGTATCTTTACGGAATTAGACTGCCTCATCTTTCTCCTGCTAAGACCTGCCAAGATTGCAAGGTGGCAGCTGAATGAGCCCCTGGATTGCAGCATCCCAGCTCAGCTTCTTCTCTGGTGTGAGGTCTAGGGCAAAGCATCTCACCTCCCCGAGTGCCAATTTCATCCCAAGTCACAGAATAACAACAATGCATGCATCTTTCCAGGGGCGTAGGAGGATGCCTTGCAATCAGTACAAAGCGCTCCAGGTATACTGTCCCAGCCAAAGGCAGCAGACTGGGGTCAGAACAGCTCAACCACGTGGTCTTCACAGAATAGCAACAGCAACTGCTGTATTTCTATGGTTTCTCCGTGCCAGGTTCTATGCTCAACCATTCACATGCATCCTACACAGATGGCTCAAGAAAGTCGCTCAACAAAGAGTCTAGGGCTCTGTCCACCCCAACTGCCTAACCATACTGAAAGTGACAAGATCCCACAATGAACGGATGATCATTCAGACAGCAGGTAATGATGACTATGGTGACTGAAGAGGGAGGAGAGAGAAAGGTGGATTCAGGAACACAGCAAAGTTCAATCAGCTCCTCAATGGGGGCCTGGGATGTGGAAGAGACAAGAGTCAAAACAGACCAAAGATGGAGGTGGAGACCAGGAAGCCAAAGAGCTGGCCAGTGTGGGAGGGAAAATGAGAGGTTCTGATCTTTCTTGAACAATGAAGACAAGTCAAAAATAGATCTGAGGCTTGAGGGAGGAGCCAAGCTACAAACAAAGAATGCAGAGGTAATCACTGAGATCGTAAACGAGAAAAAAAGGACATTAGACAAGATTCTGGAGAACATTCACATTTGGGGGCAGGAAAAGGAAGAGACGCCAAAAAGGGAAAAAAGGTGTAACGGACAAAAAGAGATCAAGGGCACTGAGAGGAGGGGCCGGTGGGGTTAAAAGTAGAGGCATTTAAGACAAGGACTGCAGGGCACTGGGAAGGTTCCTGAGTACCAAAGAAAGAGCAGCTCCAACCAAGTCTACAACCTGAGAATACAGCATTCCAAGTCAGTAAGCAGGTGTCAAGTCAATTCCCACTCAGGAGACTGCATCTGTGCAGAGTGGAACTGCTCCACTGGGTTGTCAAGTGAACTTTATGAAGCAGATCACCAGGCCTGCATTACAAGGTGCCTGTGAGTGGGTTTGAATCGCTAATCTGTCAGTTAGTTGAGTGCGTAATCACATGCCCCATCCAAGGACTCCAAGCAGCCACTTTATACTTACATGTAATGAACAGCTTCCGTAACTGTACTTGCCTAGTTGAACCACGGTAGATTTAATTTGCAGCCTTTGAAAACTAGGCTATGGTGGCGGAGTGAGGAATTCTGAGTGACACAATGAACTACAAAGAAAATGCCACTGAAGACTAGGTATTTTGATCGGCCATGCTATTGCTAAGACATAATACAGCCCCCCAGGAAACAAACTCTCAGAAAACAGCAACTTGTGTCTGCTACAGATCAGAGTCATTATAGAGAATAATGCTCTCCCCAGCAATCGCAAGAGCGAGGTGCGGATAGAAACACGCTCCAGGACCACAGAGATGCAATTGTCTCATAGTAACTACACACCCACCCCGCCTTGTCACACTCCTCGGTGTGGACTATCGCTACGCGGGCCAGCCCTCCCCTGCCAACCATGTGGGAGGATTCTGAATACAACCTCGCCACAGGTTACAGCCCTGAGAGGGGAAAGAAAATGGATTTGATCGTGTGAGGTCTTTTTATTTAAGAAAATAGTTTACTGTACATAAAATAAGGATTAAAAAAGCAAAAGTGAAATTAGGTACCTTAGCTTCTGAAAACACAAAGGCACATAACACTTCATAAACTGCTCGACAGGCAAAGCAGTATCACCAATCTCAGACTATGTTCAAATAAAAGAGAATCCAAATCCAGATAGAGGCCTCCACAAACACACCTGCTTGGGAGGGATCACCATACCTTTTTCCCTGACTCCAATGAGTCAAAACTATTACAGCTCTCTTCTGATGAGAGAGTTTCCATGGGAACATCATCTGGGAAGCCGACGAAATCCTCATCATCACTAGGGGCGTTAAAAATGTCAGCTACTTCTTTAGGTATCTGTTTGGGATTCAAAAGAGAAGTAAAACACCATGGGGCCATCATGTCTTAGGAAATTTTTCTAACAAGGAACAGAAGTTACCACTTTATAACTTTATCAATCCCCCCAATGATGTATACATCCACAATTGTCCAGAAAACCCCAACAACCCTGAACAAAATGTGTTTCAACTGACATCTTGTGGCAAAATAGGAGGCAGGAGAATGGAGAGCAAAACTTTTTCACATTCTAGAAGCATGCCCAGTTTTACAAAGCATGTTGAGGCCACATCCAAACACAAGCCATGTTTGATCTCTGACAAAATACAAAAACAAGAAAATAGAGGCATTGGATTTGGAAAACCAAGGATCTCCCTTTTAATTTTCTTCCTTTTCTGCATAAATCAGTGGATTTGTCTTTAAATGTCTTGTAAAAAAAAAAAAAAAAAAAAGATTCCATGAAAAAATATTAAACTTCTCTTTTATTCGTTTTTACCTATAGTTCATTATTCTTCTGATCTTTGTCACAAACTGATTCAGAGGTATGAATGTTTCATACAATAATATAAGTAACTTTCTTTTTTTCTTTTATAATCTACATCAGCTGAAGTAGTTTGGGAATTAATTCCAAGAGAACTTAAAAGCTATTACGGGCAATTATACCTAGAGAGAATACTGTCAGCATATTTAATCAAACCAATATGTATCTGCTGAGAGCTCATTTGTCATTGTAGCCTACCTATTTTTCCCCTATTGGAATTTTGGAAAAGTGTAAACACACCAGAAGTTGACAGATCAGTACAAACACATTTTTCTGAGAGTTGCTAAGTCATTTCTGACTCACAGTGACCCCGTATAAGGTTTCCAAGGAGTGACTGGTCAATTTGAACTGCCAACCAACCTGTGGTTAGCAGTCCGATATGTATCCAACAGTGCCAACTCACAAAACTATTTGTAATGAGGTTTACATTCTCTTTTTCCTCCTTCTCAACAAATATTAGGTTGAACCACAGGCATTTGCTTATATTAAACTGATTTTGACAATTTAGTATATGATCCAAACAGTAATTTTGAGTGCTGGTATGGCATTGTAGGATAATACACTGGACCTCAAGACCAGTGTGAATTGCAAGGTCAGCAGTTCAAACTCATCAGCTGCTCCGCAGAAATCCTATACAAGGTTGCTATGAGTTGAAAGCAACTCAATGGCACTCAACAACAATGATCCATGTATACACACATTGTTTAAAGTAATCTGTAGTCATCATATTAATTTGCCCTAAACTCCTTCGGCAGAGTCCTAGTGTGGCACTGTGGGTTAATGTGCAGGACTGCAAATTCAGTTTGAACCGCAAGGTCAGAGGTTCAAATTCACCAGCTGCTCCTTGAAACCCTATACAGTATTGAAATGAGTCAGAATTGACTTAACAGCACTTAAATACCACCACGAACAAAGCACTCACTTTGGCATGCATTCCCAAAGAATGACATTCTCCAGTAGAACTACAAAGCCATAATCATACACAATTAATTTAACAATATTATCAAGTGTAAATCTATATGTAAATTGCTACAACGAGCCCTATACAAGGATTCCTAAATGTTTTACAACTCCTCTCTTTGGGGGAAGGGAAATCTACTCAAGCAACTTTTATATACTGCTTTTGGTTGTTTGTTATGACATTAGATTCAGATGAAAATTTTTTGATAATTTTCTAGAGTTAATGCATACTTCTCAAAGCATTGCCTCTGACAAAATGCCATGTTATCCCACTATTGGTTGTATTTATTTTTATGACAGAAAATCTCAAAGGTATTCAAAAGTACACAGAATAATAGTATAATGAACCCACATGCTGACTCGCCAGCATCAGCAATTATCTGCGTATGGTGAATCATGGGTATTTCTACACAGTGCTCCTCCTTCCAAAATATTTTTAAGTCAACTGTAGACATAATTTCACCCTGTGTCATCATCCCTTGTATGGTCTGTGTTCAGAGTTATAATGTCTTTTTGAATGTGTGCTATAGATATATATAGTGTGGCACTTAGGATCCACACTGGACTGCCAACCACAATATTGTTAAGTGCCATCAAGTCAGTTCTGACCCACAGCGACCCTGTATACAGTTTCCAAGGAGCAGTTGGTTATGTTTGAACTGCAGAATGTGTGGTTGGTAGTCCAGTGCTGACCCTATAGCACCACAATAGGAATGTAAGTATACATATAAAATTCACCAAATCAACATATTTTACCTGTACAATTTGATGACATCTAATTATGTTGTACAGCCATCACCTACCAAATTTTTATAGTCATAAACCAGTACTCAATTCTTCCTAAATAAAGATTCCCCCTTTCCCTCACCCTCGTAACTACTAATAAACATTGGTCTCTACGCATTTGTGAGGTTGGTGCAGGACGGGGCAGTGTTTCGTTCTGTTATACATAGGGTCACTATGAGTTGGTACTGACTCGGTGGCACCTAACAACAGATATTAAAGTATATTTCAGTTATAGTCTAGATAATTCACAGGCTTTGTCATGCTGTGGGTGACTTATTTCATTCAGCATACTGTCTCACTTTCTTTAATGTACTGTTTACTGTATCATGATGCAAATAAGCTTCACACACTGGTCAGGAGGTCTCTTATGTCTCTTTATCTCTCCACCTATTATCTTTTCTTGCCACTAAGTTTTGAAGAAACTGGGTCAGTTGACCATAGAGTTTCCCAGAGTCTAGAGGTTGTTTTTTATTACAGTTCTAAGATGTTGACCTATTTCTCTATCAGCTTTCCTATAACTTGGTGTTAGAGTCTAGAGCAGGGGGGGTTGCTTTTGTTAAGTGCCATCGAGTCAGTTACAACTTAGAACAACCCTGTATAGGGTTTCCGAGGAGAGGCTGGTGAGCTTGAACCGCAGACCTTGCAGTTCAAACAGACCTTGCAGTCTAGTACATTAACCCTCAGCGCCACACCAGGATTCCAGAGAAGGGGTGGGGAACCTTTTTCCTGCCAAAATTTATGTCACAAACCATACAATATTATCAACTTTAAAATTAGCTATATTTAGTCAAGCATTTAATATGAGGAGCTCTGGTAGCGTAGTGGTTACAAATCAGGCTGCTTACATCAGGGTCAGGAGTTCAAAACTACCAGCTGTTGTTCCCCCCAGAGAAAGATGAGGCTTTCTGCTCCCGTAAAGATTTACAGCCCCCGAAACCCTGTACAGGATCGCTGTGAGTTAGAACTGACTCCACGGCACATAACAACAACAATGTGATGGCTGAAACTGTGATTGCCTTGGCAGGACCGGATCAAATTATTTCAAGGGTCTTAGACGGCCACTGGCCAAGCATGCCCCACCCTTGGTTTAGAGGCTCCATTAGAGAAACTCCAAGACACCACGCTGACAGTTATGGGGTTTACCAGGAAGTTAACAGGTTACAATACAGGATCAGGAAATGTTCAGGGCACAGTTGTTGCAGTCAGGAGAGTCTCTTCTCAGCTGTGCCAGCCAGCAGGCCTCTCTTCCCCAGCAGTGTTACAAAGCTCATTTAGGGCTGCTGATAAATGCCCACAGGACACACCACTCCTCCATAAAGCAGCCTGAAAGCACTCAGCTCTAGCTCCGGGGTAGGCAGGCCTAGCTCTCGCAATTAACTGCCTGGAAGAACCCAACTCTGCAAATAAGCCTCCTGCCTGCCCAGCGTCACTCAGCTTCACTTGCTCCTTGGACTGGGAAGCCTCCCACTCTGCCTGGTGCCCTGGTTCTGGGTTCTGCTGCTTCTTACTCCTCTGCCACTCCTCCAGTGTCACAACTTTCTGTCCCTGGGCTGAGGGGGTTCATTCTGCAGGCAGCTCCAGATTCAAAAGATGTGCTCCACTCTCGGCTCTTCTTTAATGAGAGCGAGATCCCTGCTCCTGCTTCTGAAGGGGTGTGTGTCATTTTATACCCATGTTTTCACAATCACAATGAACTCTGTGAGCAGTCATTCACAACTAAATCAAATCACCCTCTCATCTTCTTCTACCTCCTCTTACCCAAACCCATCAGGAAAAGAGGCATTAAATAATTCACTACACCACAGGGATCATACTGTAAGACCTAACTAAATAAAGTCGGTTGTGTTATTGTTGTTAAGTGCCGTTGAGTCGGTTCCCACCCACAGCGACCCTGTATAGGGTTTCCAAGGAACAGCTGGTGAGCTTGAACTGCCGACTTTGCAATTCAAACGACTTTGCAGTGTGGCGCAGTAACCCACACCACACCACACCAGGACTCAGGTAAAGTGGGTGGGATCTGCTAAATTTCTCCTTTACAAGGTATTTTTATCCCCTCTGTAACTAATATGCAATATATAGGGTGATGTTGTTGTTGTTGTTAAGTGCCGTCGAGTCGGTTCCGACCCATAGCGACCCTGTACAGGGTTTCCGAGGCTGTAAATCTTTACGGGAGCAGAACACCTCATCTTTCTCCCGCAGAGCGGCTGGTAGTTTCAAACTGCTGACCTTAAGGTTCGCAGCCCAATTCGTAACCACTACGCTACCAGAGCTCTGGAGTCCCTGTAATGTGCTAGGCTGCTAACCAAAAGCTTGGAGGTTCAAATCTACCAAGAGGTGCTTTGGAAGAAAGGTCTGGCAATCTACTTCGGAAAAATAAGTCACTGAAAAGCCTATGAAGCAAAGTTCTATTCTGACACATATGGGGTTACCATGAGGCTGACTCCACTCAATGGCAACTGTACTGGGATTCTGTGAATATCCTTCTCCCCAATAACCATCTAGGCATCCACTGATAACTTCTACCTGAATCGCTTACTACATTAAACAAAATTCGCTACTATCAACTCAATTCTGACTCACAGCCACTTGATGCAGGGTTTTAGTGCTGTACATCTATCTTTTAAGGGAGCAGGCAGCCTCATCTTTGCCCCATGGAGTGGCAGGTGGGTTTGAACCTCCAACCTTGTGGTTAGCAGCTCAACACTTACAAAATAGTGATTTTTACATTCTA